CTCATAGGGATAAATGGACATGAATGCAAGGATACTACACCCAGAGAACTTGTAGAAAGGAGAATTACCACTCTGTTGTGTCAAACACTAGAGGGCGCTCCCACATGAGTCCAACATGAATGGAGCATTTGAGCAAAATCACAGTTTATAATTGCTTAAACATTTTTAATACAAAAGAATGCATTCATTTCCTGAAAACAGAACTGCATGAAACATTTTAATACAGCTGTTATATTTGTGAATGCTTTTGAACTCGAGTTATAGGAGCCTAAAATGGCGCATCATGTATGTTGATGTCAGTGAGCGCGAACACCCAATGAGCTGCTCTGCTCGACAACCATTTAGCACTCAGTAGCAATACTGCTAACCAATCAGCACTCAGTAACAGTAATGCTGACCAATCAGCAATCTGTAGCAGCAATGCTATCCAATCAGCAATCAGTAGCAGTAATGTTAGCGTCCTGCTGCCCAAAACCCGTTTGCTGTAGAAAAAAAGAAACATAAAGGCAAGTTTGATTTTTTCTTTAGGTAAATTTTATCCTATTTTCTAAAAGTAAAGGAATTTACTTTGATTAGAAACCATTTTAACTTTTCATTTGTAGCTGTTTAGCTCCATTTACCCCATTCATTCAGGCATCGCTCGTGGGCGCCCTCTGGTGTTTTGCAGTCATGTTTTTGATATAACAGGACCAGACTCTGCATAAACAAGCTCTGACTACACCTTTAAATACACTAATTTGATAATTACATTTTACTCATTCCCCCTTCCTCCCCTTTTTGATGTTTTTCTGATTGTAACAATCTTTTATTGTATTTGCTTATGTATATTTGAAAAACCTCAATAAACACCTAATTTAAAAAAAAAACGTGAATGGGAAAGCTTATGACGCTCAGCGTCCTTTTACGGAGAATGTCCCACCTTTCCATTATAGAGCCAATGAGCTTGCTGGTTGCGCCATAGGTGGGGAAAGCTCCACCCTCAGTGTGGAGATCTGCACAAGCACAGTAGCAATAACAACCGGAAAAATCACGTTTTTTGTGAATTATCGAGCCAAACATTACGAACTATTTATGAGATTTTTGTCAGATTTTATCAGTGATTTCAAATCTGTTTTTGAAACTGTAATTTGGCATTCAGTTTTGAGTATGTTCTCTAATCTTGTATGGCTGGAAGTGACTGTCTGGTGGTGCCAAGAGAACAGACTTTTTTATAAGGACATTGACCGTGCTTAGGGCGTTGGTGGGATGATAATGACATAGCTGTTCCTACACTGATATCAGTAATGAGCAGAACGCATTCTGCCGAAACCGAAAAACAATCAAATATGTTTTGTTTGCATACACAGCTCTCAAATAAATGAAAGTGGTGCGGTTTTTAATCCACCATTCAGTAAATGTCAAAAAATCAATCTAGTTGCTAAATGTTCTCTGCTCACTAGGAGAGAGTTCAGCAGGGCTCTACCAGCTCTTCTCTGGTTGGACTGTACAGCACTTCACAGAAAAGCGTGTTGGTTTTTTGACACATGCTTAATTATCAGCAGTAAGTATCACTTATGTTTTCTTAAATGAAACACTGCCGTTTTTTGAAAGCAGTGTAGATGTATCCCTCACTGCCTACATTTCCCATAATTTTGTGCATCTACGCCAACGCAGCGCAGTCAGGAGTAGGGAGACCAGTTTGTGTACAAGTTCAAGTTATTTGTGATTTTTCTACCTAAAATTTTTTAATTCTGACAATAAAAAGCCAGTGTAATTTGTTGTGAATAAAAGCTGTTTAAAAAGTGTGTCTGTGTTGTGTTGCATGTTTGAACATAGTTTGTACGTTATTTGTACAGTGGCTGTTTAAATAAGTTTCAGTATTCATACAGCTAAACTGAAAGTTATTTTAATGTGATTTCCAATAGAATTCATCCTAATCATTTTAGTTTTACTTTGGTTTATTTCTAGTAAATATTTAACTTAGCTGATATTTTCATTCAAATAACAATAACATTAACAATAACAATAACAATAAAAAGCCTTTCCCCCTCACAACTCAGGATTTAGCTGGCTAAACTATAATCTTGATAATCTTAGCTAAAGTGCTACTATAAACTCAAGCATAGCTGGTCTTCATTAAACTTTTTATATTCTGTGTCTGTTAGCTAATTTAGCTACTGTAAGCTACCTTTCAAGGTAAGCTAGCTGTTAGCCTAGCTGATAGACCCAGTGAAATGCTAGTGATTTTTAAGCACTGGAGCTTCTTTCTGTAAGGCGAAAGTTTCATTTCTGTAAAATCCCACATTTGATCATAAAAACTGCAGTAATGTAGCCATCTTAGAACAAACTTTTCTTGGTAAGAAAGATGCTAATGGCTTTTGAAGGTAGCTAAACACTAACAGCTAGCAGTGAGCAGTACACTGTAGAAGCCCATTTCTGCCACTGATTAAAATAGCCATTTAATAAGTCATAAAAATGAGAATGTTTCCTATGATTGTGACCTATTTTGTCATAATTATGACACAGCATCTCATGATTATGAATTATTGTCTCAAAATTACAACGATATTTATGCTATCTTGTAATAACATCTCATAATATGAAGAACATTTCTGATAATGTTGACTTAGTATCTCATATTTATGAGTTTATTACATCATAATTATGACTTGTCATTTCATAATTACAACTTAGTGACTTACTATATCATATTAATGACTTGTTATTTTAGAATTATGACATTTTCTCAATTATGAGGAGATTTTCTCTTTATTATGGGACAGTAAGTCATAATCATGAGAAACTTTCTCATTAAGTCATTATTAGGCTAACTAAGTCATGATTACAAGACACGTAATTAATAGTTATTAGATAATAGGTCAAAATTAAGAAAAACCTTCTTTTGCTTGTAGACACGATCTTCCATAGTCAGTAGTTTGGTCACATCTCATTGCTGCCTCTGATGCACCTCTCAAACATATGGGAGCCTGTTTCCACCCCTTAAAAAATCCATAGAATTATGACTTAGTATCTCATAATAATGAGAATCAGAATGATGAGATTATGATTATAGGACAGCAGGTCACAATTATAAGACACAAGTGTGAGATTTTAAATCAATTATGACAATTATTATGAGATACTAAGTCATAATTATGGGAAAGCCTTCTCATTATTATGACTTAAATTGCTATATTATTTTTTTCCAGTGGTGGAAACAGGCTCCCATACAAACTTGCTTTAGTTACAGGTAAATTCCTCACATCGCTGAATTCTAAGGCAGTGACTTATGAGGCAGCTGCCTTCAGTTTCAGACACAGGCATTGCTGAAAAATCATAACAAAATCATAGAATCAGTCCTTAATCACTCCTCAGCTTCGGTCCCACACAGCTCTGCACAGTCCCAGATTTTCTCTGCACCCCCACACACCTGATCAGCTCATAATCAAGGGCTCCACTTATTAGCTGATGAGCTGGATCGTCCGTCTCTAAAAGCTCCCCCACAGAAAGTTATTACATGAAATAGTTATGAATACACTGCCTGATGACTTAAAAAAAAATGCCACGTTTATCCTGCGGAGCGCCACCAGGGGGCACCGCTAGCACATGGTCCGGAGGGTCGTCATGGAGACTCCTGGTGGCACGGGGCGGGGGGGGCGGGGGGAGCGGGAGCAGGAGCGGCGCGGTGACGTAATGCGGCGGAGGAGCACCGCGAGGAGAGAACCGGACCGACCCAAACACGCACACACACACATGCACACATACACACATACATGCACTAGTGCAAAGCTGCTGCTCACGCGCGCACAAACTGAGCAGGAGCGCTCGAGGATGCGGGACCAGCCCGGACGGAACGGTAAGCACGAGCTTGATCAATAATTAACCTGCTTTGGGTGTCAGCACGAGCCCAAAGATACTGCAACTTCCCTTTATTTTTACCGTTCCACCTTTAATGGTGCACCATTTAAGGTGGAACGGGACAATTCGAATAAGACGCCAACTTCGGCTTCGTGCATGAGCGTGTTTGTGATCCTTAATGACGTAGATTCTGATCTTTTAAAGATCTTTTTAAGGTGTCTCTCCATCAGAAACACCTCGCTCTTAAAAATGAAGGTGTGTTATTTGAAGATTACGAGGCCATGAGAACCTTTTAAAGGATGCTTTCTTGTGGAACCATGTTTGTAAATGGGATGCATGCGTGTCTAAAGCCTCTTTATCAGTTTTCTTAATTCGATTTATAGACCTTAATCTGATCTAAGAAATCAGACTGTGTGTTTACACGAGCACTTCATAATCAGATAATAATCAGGATTATAAAATGCATGTAAACACAGTGTCAAAATGATGAATATGAGGATTAAAAAATTATTTTTATTTAACATTTCACACCCTGCGCTGCACTAAACCGATTTAAACAGAACTATTTATGCTCTCTCTGTAATGACACATGCAGTCAGTGTTCTGATGATATTCACGATATACTCAGAAATTCATATCATAACATAATTTATCATGATACTGATAAAATATTGTGTAATTGCCCACCCCTAGTGGACATTAGCAGCAGATTATTTAACAGTCTTCTTGAAAATCAAAATAGAGCCCAAAACAGAAACTATTAGTCTAGTCTGTTTTGTTGCTTGTGATTGCGATAAGAGAATCAGTCCTGCAATAAAACTCACCTGCGATCTTCTCTTGGTTTGTCACATTGTGTCTTGTTCTTTTGAGGGTTCCTCAAGATGCCATGGAGCTGTAAACGTGTGGGAATATGAGTCATGGCAGTCCTGAACTCTCAGCGGATTAACAAATTCAAGCTCCGCGTGGGATTCCTGAGAAATGCTCAACAATGAAGTTTGGACGGCTGGACCAGCGGACCCTCTGGACTCTCCCGCAGCTCCTGAAGCCCACTACAAAGCAGCCGCTCTGGGCTTTAGCCTCAGACAAAAAGCACAGCGTGACCTCAGATCCCACCCATCGCAATGAATGACTGGACATCGCTTTGGCGAAGGCAATGAGTTGAACCAAATCGTTCTGATGGACACGTAGAAGGGAGGCAAAGTGGGGCTGGACTTTAGATTTGGGACGTCGGGTTGTTTCTGTTTGGATTTGTCTGTCTGAAGGACCGTGGATACTACAGGAAGGTTTTGGAGAGATGTCTGATTCATCAGGGGCAGGAACACCTGCCCCTCAGCAGCAGAAGAGGAAGCAGGTGTTTCACGGTTTGGAGGATCAGAAAAAGGTAAGGGTCATTTCTGTTCAGTGGACAGTGTCCAGTCCCTCAAGGTCTTTCCAGAGGATTCAAATAAAAAGCTCCTGAAGGTCCTCAGATGTTCCAAATTGTGGTGGGATTGTCAGACACAGTTTAATGCTTGGGTTTAAAACAGCTAATTCAGCTCAATTGTTGTTATTCATGTTCAGGCTAACATGAATAATCACTAATAAAGTCATTATTTTTATTTAATATTGTAACACTCATTTGCAATTAATAAATAAATTATTAGATAGAAACGCTTAGTAAATAGCTAGATAGTAATTTGATCTATTTATCCAACTCCTGCTAGCTAGCTATATAGATAGATAAACATAAACTTTGTTAATAGTTAGATATATAGAACCTTTTTGTATATTTAGAAAAATCTGTTTAGTTAGATAAATAGATGTAAATTTTATTAATAGCTTCACGCTTAAAAAACTTTCTCCAGGGTTCTTTAGGAAAGACAGTGGTTCTTATAGCACCAAAAAGGGTTCTTCTAGAAATTGTAACAATAAAAGAACCCGAGAAGAGAACCATATGCGTAACATTCTCCATCAGTCTGAAGAATCGTTCCACTCTGCAAAGAACCCATTAAGCATGCAAATTGTTATTTGAGTGTTCATCGTTCTATATAGAACAATTGTCTTTGCTCAAGAAACTTTGATCTTTTTTAAAGAGTGTAGCTATATAGAACCTAACCAGAACCTTTTCATCTATTTAATTGAACATGTCCAAATAATTACAATGGAACTATCTTAATAGTTAGCTAGAACAGTTTAGATCTATTTAGCTAAATCTGTTTTAGCTAACAGATGAGTGTTAGCATGTTAGCGTATTAGCATGTTAGCATATTAGCATGTTAGCATATTAAGGTTTTTGAAAGTTAAATATTAATTTTTGTTAGCTATTAGTTAATTTCATTGCTTTAATTATTAGTTGAATATTAGCATACGGACACTATTTTTAATTCACTTTAATTATTTTAATCTATTTGGCTTAATCTGTTTTAGCTAGCAGATGAGCGTTAGCATGTTAGCATATCAGCATATCATCAATCTTTTTGTAAGTGAAGTATTATCTTTTAGCTATTAGTTAAATTGATTGTTTTAATAAATACGTTGAATATTATCAAACGATCGTTATTTTAATGGTCACTATAGATGATCTACAGATACTTAAACTATTAACAGACTTTCTGGTGACACTCAGGGTTAAATTTAGCAGTAGGTGTGTGTTTTGTAGTGAAGTTAGAGTTAGGATCCGGTTTGGTTTGGATTTAACAGAATCTTTCACACCCACCTTCAAGTTCACTTGCATTTAATAGATATTTCCCTGAATGTTAGTTAAAGACAGACTTAAGCATCTACAAAATAAAGTGTTAGTGAAATGCTAAACTCTGCAGCACTCCGGTCCTCCAGGATCTGACTTTGACACCATTTTTTGATCCAGTATATAAATAGCTGCACAGCAGGATGTGGATTACTGTCTCTGGTGTTGACGTGACCTCAGCCTGAGTCTCTGACTGTCTGTGAGCTCCTCCACACGCTTTCCTGATTTATGGCTGGTTAAAGCCTTGAGTGTCTCCTGGTGGTGTGTGGCATCAGGTGTGGTGGGTGGTGCGTTGCATCACTGAGAGATCTGTGTCCTTTTTATTGGCTTGCAAATGCACACAGGACCCAGAAGATCACATTAGACATCATTACTGACAATAAAGCACAAACACGCCTGAGCTTTCACGCTGCAGACGGCGTCTGTGGAAACATTCAGCTCACATTCTTCAAAAGAGGCGCACACGAAGCCAGAATAGACTATTTACATTCTTTACAGCAGAGCTTCCTACTCTGAGCCCCAGGGGTCCCAGTGAGTGCATGTTGCTGTTACTATTCCGGCTCCGGACGCACCTGGGCTGAGTGATCACAGCCTGTCAGGTGGGAATTACCTGGCGCAGGTGTGCTGGGAGCTGAGCGGAAATAGAAGTGTGGACTGTGTTGAAGTCCTTCAGGACTTTTTGGGAAGTTTAGCAGATGTATGAAAGAACAGAGAGTGGTCCGATGTTTCGATCATGAAATTCAATTGTGTTTAACGATTTAATTGTCTCTTTTTGTTTATTTTTTGCAGCTATTACATACAAGCCTAAAGTGGCCAAATTGGCTGATTAGCAACACACTTAAAAGAGATGGTTCTTTAAGGGTTGTTTAGTAAAGAAAATGGTTCAATATAGCACCAAAAAGGGTTCATCTGTTGATACAAACTTGACATCATAACAATATCAGAACCCTTTTTGGTGCTATATCGAGCCATAAACAACACATTTGAAGAACCACTTCATCATGCAAAGAGTTCTTTGAGGGTTCATGGTTCTATATAGAACCATTGTCTTTACTAAAGAACCCTTTAAGATCCATCTTTAAGTGTGTACAAGCTAATATGACTATGTTTGGTCATTTTAAGTGCATGCGCTCATGATTCGTGTATGTAAGTTGAAAACTTCAAGAAAATCTAATCTACCGCTAGCTACTGTCAGCTCCATAATTATTGGCACCCTTAATGAAGATCAAAAAAGTAATGTGTGGGTTAATTAACCTTTCTTTCTTCTGTCTGACTTTTCTCTTTCTTTTTTTGTGTCAGTGATGTTTTTATTTCAGCCAAAAAATATGAGCTCATACTTGAATATTGTTATAATCAGTAATATTGTGAAAATGAAGTGATAGCGGACACCGTCTGTGTGCTGGATGCTGGATCTTGCATTATTCTGCTACATTATTGATATGATCAGGTGTGCTAAATTGATCACCGGGGGATTCCACCAGGTTATGAATATTAATAGCAGAGCAGAAAGCCCAGCTGTACTCTAGTTTCCAGTGTGGTGACTAACACACGCTGCAGAGCGGCCACTGAGCAGTAAGAAACTGCTAAAGGGAAATTCCACCCATTTTTCCAGAATTCCTTCATAATTGAATGGCAGAGAGTGATTCAGAGTGGTTTGGTGTAAAATGTTTCAGATTTCTTTATGATGGTGGTGAAATGAACCAGGGGTCGCCATGACTACAACACAAACCTAGACATTTTATTTACTATCCAAAACGACCAGTGAACCTACACGTCTTCTGAGTTCTGTACAGTGGTGGTGAGTGGAACCAGGCGTCTGCAGGCATCTTTCTCTCTCTCTCTCTCTCTCCCTCTCTCTCCCTCCCCCCACTTTCTCTGTCATTCGGTTTTTCTTTCTGTTTTTCTGGTTTTATTTTTCTTTCCTGTTGTTCTTTTTTCTTTTTCTCTCTTCCTTTTTCTTTCATTTTCTTTCTTTCTGTTGTCCATTCATTAATTCTTTTTTCTCTCTCCATCTTTCTCTTACGTTCTTTCTTTTTTATTTGTCTTTTTCTGTCTTCCTTTTTTCATTTCTTTCATTCTTTCTTTTTTCTCTGCATTGTTTGTTGTTATCTGTTCATTCTTTTTTTCTCTCTTTTTCTTTCTTTCTTTCTTTCTTTCTTTCTTTCTTTCTTTCTATCTGTCTACTGTACAGTGAGAGATCAGTGTTGTGAAACTGGATGGTGATGAATGTGCTGTGTTGACCTCATTGTTGGTAAATTGAGTAAATTTTTCAAGTAATTTTGAAAATCGCAGCTTGCTTCCCCAAATATAAATGTCCTGGGCTGTGTCCCAAACCACACACTGTAAACACTACACTACTCTGCTCTACACTACTGAGTGCACTGCTGAATTTTCGGTTTGGGACGCAGCCCTACAGTTTACTACAGCTGCTGAGGCCTAATATCAGAAACAACTCACATAAACTGAAGACATACAGACAGTCAAACCGCACCAGACACACACAAAACACACACCAAACACAGAACATGGCTGATTACACGCGGGTTATATTAGTGATATTAAAGTTGGCTTATGGGTTTTATTCCACACACCTGCCTGTCAATAATTAAATTTTCATTCCGCTGTAGATTTTGCATTTGGGGGCTCTCTGTCCTGTTCGTGCCCGCCTGCTCCACCCCTTGGGACACCACCGCTGTGTTTAATGCATCTCATCGTGGAGGGTTTGGTTTGGTCAGAGTCTGTATGACTGTGTCTGACTGATTTTAAAGAGGCTCTGAGTCTTAATGGAATAACAGTGAGGGTGTGTTTGTACGGAGCAGATTAGAGAGCCTGTGTTAGTGTTTGCGCTGCTGAGGGAGATTCAGTCCTTTCAGAGCCTCTGAGGTGCCTCACTGCTTTATTCATCCTTATTTCAAAGATGACAGAGTCCATTAGAGGTGCTTTCCATTATCGTGCTTTCTTCATTGACCCTCCAGCTTCTCAGACAGGTTCTTCAAACCGGTTCCACAGGAGACCAGCAGAAAATTTTGAGCAATTTATATTGTTTTAGCAAAATAAATTGTAGTTGTTGTTCAAGGCTGTGAAGTACAAACCTCAATTCTAAAAAGGTTGAGACTGTGAACAATTTAAAAAAAATGAGCCGCTGGACTTAAAACTGAAAATATGTCAATATGTCAGTTGAGTTGTATTTAAAGGGGCATTGCACTTTTTTATTAATTTCTCAAATTCGTTTAATTTAATTTCTCAAATTCAATGATTCAAAGTGATTTGATATTAAATAATTTGTTTGTAGAAAAACAACCAACAGTCTTTACAGTGGTGGTGATAGGAACCAGAGGTCCCAATATATACAACACAAATATAGACATTTTATGTACTATCCAAAACCACCAGTGAAGCTACACGTGTCAGAATTTGCACATTTTTATCAGCAAACGAGCTCCTGTCTGTTCTACATTCTCATTTTGTGGAACCCTGAGATTCTGACTCTCTCCTCCACCAGGGGGCAGTGTAGAGACGTTCTAATCTTTCTTAGTGTTCAATTTTTTATTTTTTTGGTGATCAAATTAGTTTTTATATCAAATTTTCTGGAGTGCCCCTCTTGAATACTGTTGACATGATTCTCTAAAAAGAGTATCATGATGTCATTTATCGCA